TTGTCTAGCTTTGAGAGGAAGATGGATGGGTGGAGCGGGAGAGGTTGACACATTGCCATGTGAGGCCTATCGATTCCGCGGAAGGATGTCCCGGCCTCAGACAGTCCACGGAACAACCGTGGCAAACCTTTCCGTGTTCTGTTTGTACGTCCTGAAGGAAGGTATCTCCACATTGCAAGCACAGCCCCGACTGGATGCTTGTCCTTGTTTAGAAGCTGTGGGCAGCCTGGGCCAACAGGAGTCGCAACCCATTTTCATGTCTGTGGTTTTACCCAAGGACACAATATCGTGACATGCTAGGCAATGGAAAGTTGTTACTGCAGAGTGCAAAGGGCCCTCTTGTAAGCACACCAGAAGAATCCCATGTACTCCTGAACCTCCCCTTTGTCCTGAGTCCCCCAAACAGCCGGCTGTAGTAGCTTTGATTACAGTTTTTTCTTCTGGCATCGCTCGCTGTCTATCAGTGTCTTTACCCTGCCCCCCAACACCGTGACATCTGCTGAGCCCTTGCAGGGGACACTGTTGTGACGGTCCCGGGGTTGCCCATAACGGTCTGTCTTGGGGCTTGATCCTGCAACCTGCCGAGTGCACTGATGCAGCAAAACGTGCGAGCCCGTGCTTAATTTTAAGCACATCAGTAGTCCAGCTGAAGTCAGTGGCCCTTCCCCTGTGCTTGAAGCTAAGCATGGGCTGACGTGGTTGGCCAGGCCAGGGCGCTGTGCACCTTGCAGGGCGCAGCGCTAGCTGCTTCTCGGCTCCCCCTTCCACTCCCCACGTGGAGTCTCTTTCCTGCTGCAGCGCGGGGCAGGGAGCAGCCTCGGGGAGGGGGGAGGAACAGGAGGTGCAGGGAGGAAGAGGAGACAATTGTCATCACCCCAGCCACCCCCATTGCCCCACTGCCCTCATTATCACCCATGGCGGCCGCTTTCCCCAGGCAGAAGAGGGCAGAGAGAGAAAAGAGGCTCGTGGGGAAATGAGGGGAAGGAAGGGAAAACATCACAGAGCAGGGGCGGCGGGGGGATGAGATGTCCTGGCTCCCGTGGGGCAGAAGAAGCAGACACCCTGGGGCAGGGGGAAAGAGACGACCTGGTGAAAGATGGCAGAGAGGGTGGACAGAAGGTCCAAGGCAGAGACTGGGGGGAGGAAGGGAAGAAGTGACACATGGAGTTATTGGGGTGGGGGCTCAGCCTGCTCTCTGCCCCGTGAGAAGGAGGGAGCAGTGTCCGAGAAGGGACCTGGGACGGGGCTGGCGTCCCCCCCGCACAAAGTACAAAGCCAGGCTGGATTAAACAAGGGCTGACTGGGCTGGAGAAGGTCCCAGGCCCTGCTGTGAGACTCCGTCCAGCGGGGTAGCACAGGCCTGGTTGGAGGCCTCGCGAACGCCAGCCCCATTGAAGTCAGTGGCAAAAGTGGCAACCACCCTTAGACTCCTCCGAAATCGGGAGCCCGGGCCCGGGTCCTTCGCCTGCTCCTGCTCCTTTGGCAATGGGGCCTCCTGCGGCATGGGAGCACCGTGCCACGGGGATGCCCCTCCATGGTGGGCTGGTGCAATGCTGCCAGGGTGGAACCGCTGGCCGGGGCTAAAGGAGGTTGGTAAAGGGCAGAAGAGGACAGCTAGGGTGTCTCCCTGCCCCCTATTTCAACCCCTGCCGTGGGGGCACCCCTGGCCCCGGGATACGCTGAGGCGCAGGAGACGCCGTCTCTGGTTTCAGGCCCTGACGAGGAAGGTATCTAGGACCCACACGAGTGTGGGCTGGGACCCCGCGCTCTCTGCAACGCTGGCTCCTCTGGACTCGCGCCCCAGGAGACACGCTCTAGCCGGCGGCAGCTGGGTCAGAGCTCAGCTCTCGACCGGGGGCCGAATCGTCACTACGACCACGCGGCTCCTGCGTAATCGGTCACGCTACGGCGTTTGGCTCTGGGTGGGGGAGGGGGTGTCGCGACGGCTGGGCTTCTTTCCAGCCAGGGGCTTTCTGTCCACACCCCCCATCCCCAACCCCTTCCTGAGGAGCAGCCATTCGCTCCGCCGCTTCCAGCTCTGCTGGGGCAAGGTCGTCACAGCTCTGCGGGCAGTACGAGGACCAGGATGGCAGAAAGAGAGACACCCCCACGGCCCCTCCCCTGCCTAGCGCACCGCAATGTGTGGGGAGCTGGCAGGGCCTTGCAGCGCAGGCCGGGGCAAGAGGGTCAGAGCCAGAGAAGAGCCAGAGACCAAAGAGAGGAACATCTCAACTCGTGAGCTCCTCTCGTAAGAACCCCTGAGAATGGGTGAGCCCCCTCCCCCCACACACACCCAGCAATGTTGGCATGGTAACAAGGGAAGCCATGTTTTTTTCTAGCCTCCCTTGCCAAGCACAAGCTCTGTTTGCCCTGCTCTTCACACCCTCTCCCTCTCCAAACAGCCTGCTCTTGGCTCCCTGTCTGCCTGACTACAGCCAGCGCTCACAACACTCACCTCAACGCAACCACCCAGCTGACCCGGTGCCACGAACCACGGAGCCTGCCAGGCCACGTGGGACAGGGATGCCACCACCAGCTCTGCTGCTTGGACAGGGCCACCCAACCGAACCAGGAGACGCCATGGGGCCGAGGAGATCCTTTCGCCCTTGGGCTGCCAGAACGGCCTCGCTAAGAGAGGAGCTTCAGTAGAGGGGACCTGCTGAAGCCGCAGCAAAATCAGGGCCAAAAGGGCATTGTGAAGAGGACACCCGTAACGAATACAGATCGGAGGGGGCCGGAGCCAAGTGCCCTCAGGGATGCACAGTGATAATCAGAAGGCAACATCGCACTGCCGGGCAGGTTTTCAGTAACACTTCCCGGGGCTGTGGCTTGCCCGGCATGAATTCCAGCTCCTTTTACATCTGTGGGTATTCCACAGGCGTGTCTAGCACAGAGACCTCTCCGCCTCCCGGCCCGCACGCTCAGCACCGCGCAAGAGGCACACCCGGCCTGTGCCGGTGACACAGCCAGGTCGCCCCATCTCCCCTGGGGCAGGCAGCAAAGGCTAACTCGGTGCTTGGGGTGGGATTTTCAAGAAGTACCTAGCCAGTCTCGATTGACGCCTCTTTGGAGAACAGCCTGTCTTTTTGGTCGGGGATGGTTCTGGCACCCAGCACCACGGCACTGGATGGGGGCTTGTTGATTCAGCCACGATCACAAGGTTAATACTAACCACAACGCCTGGTGGACTTTCAGTAGAACGTGCGTTCCTAAGTCCCCTGGGTGCTTTGGAAATTCTCCTGTCGGGTTCAGATGGGGGGCGGATAGCAGTGTCTGCAGGTAGCTGGGTGCCCACGTCTCAAGCCACTCTGCTAATGCACCTCCCCGCTAACTAGAACAACTCCTCCTAGCTCCGTTTGCCCAAAGACAGAGTGTCCTTTCCTCCCGGCTGCTCCAGGTTGGGCCTCTCCTGAGCGGAGCCAGACCCTGTTCCAGACAGCTGGAGGGCTGCGTAACAAGGGTAGATATAGGGCCCTCCCCGAGGCTGCGTAGGCTTCCAGACAGCTGGAGGGCTGCGTAACAAGGGTACATATAGGCCCCTCCCCGAGGCTGCGTAGGTGCCGCTGTCACTGCAGCGGAGAGAGAGTTTGCTGTTTCACAAAGACCATTCCTAAGAGCCACGGGTCAAGATTTCTCCCCTTTGCAAAGTTTTCATTCCCTCTGCAACTGCACACATAACGCAACGTCCAGTGGCCAGCCGCTCAGCCCTCCTCGCCACAGGCTCTCGGCCTGTTCTCCATGCCAGCTGGACTGCCCACTGCCAACCCACCACAACTGAAAGGCAAGACAGGCCAGCAGGGCCTTAGACCCCCAAACCTCCCCCACACAAAGAAAGAAGAGGCTGTCACGTGAGTGGTCACCAATCCCTGCATTGGCCCTTCTCTTCCAACACGATGCAGAAAAAGACCAAGAGTCTTAGGTCTTCTGCCACAACCCTCCCCTCCAGCCTGTCATCTCTGCCCCCAACGACGCTGGAAGCCAGCCCAGAAATTAGATCCCCACATGTGAATAACGACAATTCCTGGCACTTGAAACCAGTTGCCTGTGCTACTGACCAAGCCGGCCCCGTACAACCAAGCTTCTAAAGCAGTTCAGTGACACCAACAGCCACTGGAAGAGGCAACTAACTCGGGTGGGAGGTACCTGCTCTTCCCCAGCCCAAAGAAACGAACCTACAGATGAAGGTGGATTCCATCGGGAAGGGCCTTCAACTAGAAAGGTTTTCTCAGTTTTTCTGCTGAGTTCCTGAGCATCTCCAAGTCCTTATCACCTCCCGCAGCCTCCAAACACGAGGAAGAGCCCCGCCCAGCAGCTGCCCACCAAGAGGGCTCAGATGGACACACCACTCATGTCATCTGAATCACGGCTGAAGTCCCATGCAGATGCCTCCCCCCGTATGCGGCTCCTTGTCCTCTACCCTCTCTGCATCCTAAGATGTGTTAAGGCAGAGTTTCCCCCCAGGGAACCAGCGGTGGTGGAATCCTGCTTTCAAGAGCCTCCCTCTTCTCTCCTCTCTTGCGCCCACCCACCTCAATTTGATTCTGGCTCAGGGGAATGGGCCGGTGCCGGCCGCTCAGCCCATCGCCGTAGGCAGCTGTGTCTCTTCACGCACACCCGGGTCCCCCCTTGGAAAGGTTTGGGGACGGGGTGTCCGAAGGTGGAACCACAGAACGTTTGTCGCCTTGCAGCTGTTTCACTTCTCTTCCGGATGCATGGAAACCACTTTTATTTGGTTTACAACAAGACATTAGAAATCAAACATTTTTTTTAAAAAATCCCCCACCACGGTCACGTCTCCGAACCCAGCCCCTGCACGGTGTCAGCGTGCAAATGATTGTCCCCGTCTAAAGGAAGGGAGAACATAAGGCTCGGTCTACGTTGCAGCTGGGAGGCGTGAGTCCCAGCTCATGGAGACAGACCCATGCGAGCTGTGCTCGCAAGGGGTACCATGGGTAACGCCTTGGGCTAGCTGCCTGAATTCTGCCCCAGGGGGTCTCCGAACCCAGCCCCTGCACGGTGTCAGCGTGCAAATGATTGTCCCCGTCTAAAGGAAGGGAGAACATAAGGCTCGGTCTACGTTGCAGCTGGGAGGCGTGAGTCCCAGCTCATGGAGACAGACCCATGCGAGCTGTGCTCGCAAGGGGTACCATGGGTAACGCCTTGGGCTAGCTGCCTGAATTCTGCCCCAGGGGATCTGGATGGGTATGTGCTCCAGGAGCTAGTCCGACCTGCCCTCCAGCCCAGCCTGGCTACCCAGGTAGTGTTCATATGTCTACATGGCCTGAGACTCACGCGTCCTGGCTGCCATGGAGAGACAGTCTGACTCCATTCCCTCCCCTCGCTCCTGACCCCGCTGTCTTCCAGAGACGGTGCTCTCTGAAGCCTAGGGCGAAGAGTCACAAGGCCATGTTCATGTATGGCTGCTTGCGGCTGTACCCAGTCCATTCAGGTCAACAGAGGTCTTCAGTGTCCCGTGCTCCCAACGACCCCAGGAGAATGTCACATCGTTACTCAACCCTCCCCCGCCCGCCCCCCAGGCCTGGTTGCCCAGCTGAGAATTTAGAATTCTTTCCCCGCAGCCACCTCACCCCCAAGGCCCTCTGGTAACAGCCAAACAGACCAGCCTGATCTGGGACCCAAACGGGTCTGTTTCTGAGATGCGTACGGCACTGCTCCTTGACAGAGGATGAGTCCCCCCCTTATCTGCAAGGTATAAGCTGCTGGTGCGGTGTCAGATGTGCATGCTTTAGCAAGAAAGCTGAATGCCACTTACGACCTAACGTCCGGTTTGTTTCATGCACTGTGAACTTATCCTATATACACTATGGGCAGGGTTAGGGTTGAAAACATGAATACAAAGGCATACATATTCCTGTCCTCTTAGTAACCAAGGCTTGACAGTCTCCCATCGAATAGCAAGGGCTTGCTACATGGACTATTGGTTTTCCTCTTCTAATTTGCAAATCTCATGTCTCTACAGGATGGGTGGGGGACAGGTTGGATATAATCTCAAGGTCTCCATTCCTAAAGGTCCCTGAGTGACAGCCCTGTACCAGTGGTCAGAAAATAAAAGAGTTGGGCTACATTGGCCATGTTTATCCTGAGAGAATTTCCGGTTCTATTTCTCTTCCATTGCCTGAGCTTCACCAAAGCCAAATGGATGGTTGTGGCTAGGACCAATATTGTAGCCCCAAATAGTATTTTCGGAGTCCACTGTTTGAAATGAAAGGTTTATGTATGGTTGAGTTTTACTCAGCACGAGCGGGCTACCACAGCTCCGCCAGGAACTAAAACGAGTGGATAATGATATTAAGGCTAATCAGCCAGGCTAAAACTCTGCCCCAGAGAGGTACGATGTCTAGGAGAGACTCACGTATACTTCTTCAGACTGGATTCTCCAGAGAAAGAAAGGAATTTGGATGAAATAGCATGAGTTTAAATTGACCCAGGGCCTTTGCTGTGGCGTGAAGACAGATGAACTTGTAGCCATGCAGAAAACCCAGTTGTGGGTTCTGAAGGACTAAGATCCACCAGATCCCGAGGCTGGAGCTTGGGTGAACTCTGGGAAGTTTTTTTTAATCACATGTGCAGGTTCTTTGATTGATTCGAACGTGTTTTCTCTGTTAATGCTTTTGCCATAAGAAGAAATGTGCTTGCTTGAAAGAAGCTGGCTGGTAACTTATGACTGCAAGCTGTGCCCTGCACGTAGCCCTCAGGGAGAAGGCAAAAGGCAGGCAGATAGGAATATTCCTAGTGAACCAGACTGTGTGACTTAGGGAACGGTTCCATCCCCCCGCCCCCGGGAGAAGGCAATGAGACTCTGCCCAGAAGAGGCAAGGACTGTGAGTCTGAAGGCTAACGCGGGTGCCCTTGGTGGTGACTGGTGCCCCTTGCAGTCACCCTGAACCTCCAAGCTGGGTGGTGGCAGCACGTGGGGGGTCTAGGACAGTGTGGTTGCCCATAGGGGCCTCCCCACTGGAAAGCAAGCACCAAAGAGGGGAAACGCTCGCTGTGGTTTGGGAAAAAGAACAGTAAAAAGAGAGACTGGGGGAGGGATGAGCTGTGAGCTGCCGAAGAAACAGAAGCTGTTGAACTTGTGTGAGCAGCACGACTTGTCTGTTGAAGACAGCGGAGGCAGGACTGGGCAGCAGCCATGAAAAATGAGTGTTGCTTTCCCCCCCAGTCTGCAAAGGAACTCGCTTTGCACTGACTCTTGTCCAGCCCTCCTCTGGGAGCTTCAGACCTGTGAGTTGGAAGAGCATCATGCACAGATTCAATGTGCTTCCCTTACCTGCAACCTCCTGCAAAAGATCTTTCTAGAACCATTGCGCCCCTCCCCCCATGGCAACACAGTGTTTTATCTCTTCTGCTACAGAGCTGTGGAGTGGAAAGAGCATAGCTTCTGCCCTGCAAGGTGTTTTTATGCTTCTCCTGCCTGTATCCCCTCTCCCCTATTCACTAAGCAGGCGAGACCTGTTAAATCAGTTGACTTACAAGGCTTTTTTATTCTCCAGCAGCCTATCCTGTCCCCAGAGTTTAGGAGGCAGGCCCTGGCCGGCATGAAAAGTCCTGCCTGCACCCACTTTGGCAAGATTTGAGCATAGAGCCAAGTAGTCTGGGTGTCTGGCGATATTAAGACGGATTCTCTTGAGCAAACCCTGACCTAGTAATGACAGGTCAGAACCGTGCAAAGACAGAGAGAAGGGCGACTCCTAGTAAGAAAGAGAACCCAGTTGACAAGAGAACCGAGTTGTCTAGAGAACCCAGCTGACTAGAGAGCCCAGCTGACAAGAGAACCCAGCTGACAAGAGAACCCAGTTGACAAGAGAGCCCAGTTGACGAGCGCCCAGCTGACTAGAGAACCCAGTTGACAAGAGAGCCCAGCTGACTAGAGAACCCAGCTGACTAGAGATCCCAGTTGACTAGGGAACCCAGCTGACAAGAGAGCCCAGTTGACAAGAGAACCCAGTTGACAAGAGAACCCAGTTGACTAGAGAACCCAGTTGACTAGAGGACCAAGCCAATAACAAAGGAGGCTGAATCAAACTCCTGGGTGGCTGCATTCCCAGGGGAGCATGGCTTAATCCCTGACTGCTGGAGCCTCTGAACGGAACCATGCCGCTCGGGGCTCAGGCCCCGGCCAAAGTCTCAGATAGCACGTCCGGGACTTTGCGTTCATGCTCCAGCTGCAAAAGGCTGTGGAGAGAAATTTGGGGGCCTGGGATCAGTCAGTGCTGGTGGAGGCCCCCGTCACTTTGGGGAACAGGGCCCAGATGGCAAATAACCCTGATAATAGCTCCATCTGCTTCTGTGGCTGCTGGACATCAGGGTTGGCTGGCAGATGTACACGGTCAGTTCCTGAGGCCTGGGCTCCCCGAGCCGGCGAGCGTTAGCCAGACTTCCCCGCGCCAATGCCTGTAGCTGCTGAACAATGTTCCAATGCTCGAGAGCATCATCTTCTCTATCGCTTGGCCCTTTGCCCTGTTCCTTATCTGCCATTCGAAGGCATCATGTGCTGCAGCTGCCTTGTATTTATTTTGGCCACACTTCGTATTAAGGATCCATTTACATGGGATTAATGAGGCTGTTTTCATAAATGGCCCATCAGTTGTTACAGACACTTATGAAAATCCAGCATGCCCACCGGTAGCAGATCACTGTGGCTTATCACCACGGCCACCGTCTGCTTGTAACTAGTACTGTAACTGTACTTCTAAAGGCCTGTGACCCTTGTGACACCATTAATACGTGGAAACTTGCATCCAGTGCAATTGACTTTCTTGCCTGCCACCGGAGTGTGACCACGCCCTGTGCCATATGGGCCTAGCTCGCCAGGGCAGTTCTAATGCTGTGCTCCCAGGCCTTTCTCTCGTGCTCGGCCCTACGGGAAAGGGCTTTACCCTCAAATCCCAGCGGCACCACAAAGGCGACCGCATTGGGGAAACCCACTTACGACAGCACTGCCCTCGGCCATGCATAAAACATGAAGCATGATAGGCAGTCTCCTTGGGCTTTAAGAGTTGCGGAGGCAGCCCGCTTTAAGCGCTGCAGAGGCCACATACATGTGCATGGGCAAGGGTCTTAGTGCCAGAGATGCTTGGGGGCCATTGAGAGCCTTGGATCCACTTTTTGTGTCTCTTGGATCCTAGTAGCAGAACATGTACAAGACACACTGCTCAGAGGACAATAACAATACTTAGGACTCAGAGAGGACCAGATCCTAGCCCCCCCACCCGTGTCAATGGAAAAATTCTCCTGGCCTTCAGCAATGCCAGATCAGGTCTATTGCACATTAGATTTTCAAAGCGCCGCACAGACACAAATTAGTGACTAAATCAATATACAATAGGCACGTGTGTCACTGGGAATCAATATGGAGCATCTGAAGCGCTAAGCTTCCCTTGCCCATGGGAACCAAAGATGGAGGGGGAGAAAGAAAGAGACAGCTAGAGAGCAACGAAAGGGAGATTTACACTAACAGCAGCGTGTGCCTAGTGCGAGGCCCTCCCCCCATGGATGGCAGGCATACTGGAGAATGACCCCATGGTTGAAGGTTTGCACTTGTGAATTTTTTTTTCATGGCTTTTATTGACGTGCAATTGTGCTGGAAATATTCTAAGCTAACTTTTTCCAAAACGGCTCATGATTGGGGGAAAAAGGGGGGTGAAATGGAGGAACCTGAAATCTCTGGCTGCTTTGGAGAAGGCTGGTTTTTAACACCCCAGGACAAGTACCATTAACGTTGGCGTAGCATTAACAAGTGTGCAAGGTTGGAAGCCGCTGGCAAGCTAGGGCTTCCACCAGCCCCAAAGGGATCCGTGGTTTCAGCTCAACCGCCTACCGACACAGCCGTTAGCGAGCCTAGCTTCTCCAAGTAATGCTCCCCTAGCTCAGTGGAACTCTGACATATTGTTAATTACACCGTCTGCAAGAGGGGAAGTGTGTTCCCTTCCACAGGTGAGATGCATTAATGGATCTGCAGCAAGGCCTGGCTTAAGAAGTAGGTGTCCAAGGCCCCAGCCCACCCCTTGCTCCTAATGAGTTTCGGAAAGGGGCCACCTGCCCCTCACATGTTTCTCCACCCAGAAGTCTAGACAGAAACAGCCCCCCTGGAGTGGTCTGAAGTCATCCGGTGGCACAGAGAGGAGGGTCAGCACGCCAGGATGGAGGGTGGAAAACGTTCGGAACACACATCTCTGTCCCGCTCACTATAGGACTGACTCAAGCTTTGTCAACAAAAGCTCACATGCTGACTCCGGACAGCGGCACGTTTCCTGGCCAATCCTAGCCACTTCCGCCTTAACATGTATGTATCTCCCTGGGTCCGCCTCCCCAAAGTTCTCTGCTGTTGTAATACACACACAAAACCCTACTCCTCCCCCGGAAACACAACCGGTTAAACACGACCTGTGTCCTCTTACCAAAAAAATTACAAAACCCCCCTCCCCTCCCCAGAAACCATGCACGCGTGCACACACCCACACACGCTCGCATGCTCACACCGGAAAAACAGCTTGCAAACTCCTGAAGGTGGAAAAAGGCAACTTGCAAATGTGCCTTTGTTTTTGATATGCGCCCTCCCCCGCCCCGCCTCCCGGGATCTTCCCTACCCAAGTAATTCCCAAAGCCCCTCCCCCAGCTGTTCCAAAATAAATATTCTGTTTGTTTAAAAGATTCCTTTACACCTGTAAGCAAGAGACAGAGAGAGAAAGAAAAGACCATGCAGTGCAAAAATGGAGCTTCCCGACCTCAGCAAACCCAGGTGGGAAGAAATGACAAGGGCTAACAGTGAACATGGGTGAAAGATTAAAAAATAATAATGCTATCGACAAGAACGAAGAGATGAGACATCGGTGGTAAAATGGGAATGTGGGCGGGGCACCAGGGAGCACATTCAAAGATAGCTTATTCCTCCACCCCTGTTTTGAACTCAGTTTCATCCAACTTTTCTTTTCTTCTTCTTTTTTTAAATCTTTCCTTTCTTTTCGATGTTGGGTTGGTTTGTTTTTTTTATAAACAATGGTGAAGTTCTTCGGCACAAAACCGAAATCAAGACCAGGCCAACCCTCCTGAAACCCGAGACCCTTTCCCCACTCCCCCGCCCCACTTCCCCCATGCGCTGTGTTTCTAATGTGCTGAAAAGAGAAAGTAAGCTTAGAATCAACCTACCAACCAAAGGAGGAAATGATAATCAGAGAAAAGAGTAAACCCAAACCAAAAAGACCACAGCTCTCCTGTGTTGTCATTGTCTGAGTATCTGTCCCTATCGCTCCTGGAGGCCGCAGGCATTAATTTACATAGTACAACCAGTAAATGAGGTTGAAGAATCCAAAGGTGATTGGAAAAATGATCCGTGACCACTTGTCAATGGTGCTGACATCTGCCAGGTCCGGGATTTTGAGCTTCAGCTTAGAGGACCGCCGGCGGAGGCGGCAGTTGGCACGGTTGCGGGCAACAGCAGGGTGGGTCAGAGGGACATGGCGGTCTAAGGTGGGGTGGTGGCCAAAGCCATCCCGAGAGGCCAGCTGCTTGCGGAACTGGATCCCTGAGCCTTCGAAGGACAGGACAGAGTTTCGAGAGTCGCCGACGCCGCCCATCATGTCCGTGGCCAGCAGTTCGTTGTTCATCTCCAGGGTGCTGAGGAGAATGTTGCCATAAGGGTCAACCTGGAACGGGGAAGAGAGAGAAAACCGCCAGTGAGACGCTGAACAGAGTACGCTCCGGGCCAGAGTCACCCCTTGCCTTGGCCCACTGGCCCCAAGGAGAGTTTGGGACTGTTGTCTGGGCAACACCAACACCTTGGGACGGGTCATCTACAGAGACTGAATGTTGGCCCTCAGATGGAAAAGCACTGGATGCTGCCGCTGCAGCTGAAGAATGCGTTCTGTCATCTCAGAGGCAGGGGCTGACGCGTCAAGGGCTCCCGCTACAAGGAGGACAACGTGCCACTCTGGTCGCGTGGAACACACCTGTGTCACACCCTCATCCTCTCAGAAGAGGACAGACCTCATGGCTCAGCGAGGGGGCAGTGAGGATGGAAGGGGCCTCAGGAGCATTTTTCCTCATGGGCATCTGTTTGCAGCGGGTGTACCCGTTAGCTTAGCGTTTAGGGAGCGTGGGGACTGGGTTCCTTGGTCATACGGGGGAGAACAGTCCCTCTAGGGAGCTCCCAGACTGAACCACCACGAAGAATATGAATTCTCCTGCCAGAAGGCAGGAAGGGGACACACCTGCTCCCTCACCCTCTTCTCCTCGTATCGGTGGCGCTCGTTGTTTGCCTTGCTGAGCCGCTCACTCTGCTTCTTCTGCTGGCGAGGGCCCCGCCCGAAGAAAATGTAGTTGACAAAGGCATATTCCAGGAGCGCCAGGAACACGAAGACGAAGCAGCCCATGAGATAGACGTCGATGGCCTTGACGTAGGGGATCTTTGGGAGGGTCTCCCGCAGGTGGGTGTTGATGGTGGTCATCGTGAGCACCGTGGTGACCCCTGCAACGAGAGGGCGTGCGCGCCGTTACGGAGCAGTGCCGGTGCCACAGCATGGCGCTCGTCTCCGCCAGAACAATGCCAGGGAGGGGGCAGAGCGGGGGTGGGGGGGCAGGAGAGGATGGCCTTGACGTAGGGGATCTTTGGGAGGGTCTCCCGCAGGTGGGTGTTGATGGTGGTCATCGTGAGCACCGTGGTGACCCCTGCAACGAGAGGGCGTGCGCGCCGTTACGGAGCAGTGCCGGTGCCACAGCATGGCGCTCGTCTCCGCCAGAACAATGCCAGGGAGGGGGCAGAGCGGGGGTGGGGGGGCAGGAGAGGAGGCT